TACTGGAGAAGGAAGCTTATATCTGAGGACAAGCAAACTGCCTCATATTGGAACCAGAATTAGAGATTCCGCTCTCAGCAGTGCTAGCCAAGGCCGCTGTCTCCATGTGGAGGAGGAAGACACATATCCTTTGTAGAGTGGCTTACTCTCGGAAGGAAAGAAAAATGAAGTTTATGCTTTGAATGCCCATTTTTCTCCACCAAGCTCATGGGTTTATAAGTAAAGGGGTAGAGAGAATGTTACATAATCGATGTTCTTCACATGGAAGAAAACAGGAGAGTTTCCTAAACATGTTCTCTAGTCGTATGCTTTACTAACCATTAACCCTGGGGTGCCGCCGCTCCGCTGGGGGAAAATATCAGCAGGCTCTTAGTACAGGTCCATGCTCTCACCTCATGGTGCTTCTTTGACACCAATAACTTCCCCTGTGAATATCATCCTGGAACCATCAGAGAACAGTTTTGATTTTGCCCCCAGAAGATTCTTAAATGCATTGGAACAGTCCAGTAGGTAAATTAAGTCCAAAGCCACTTTCTACTCAATTCCAAATGTTGACTGCCTATTCTGTTTTTCATCACAAATCCTGAGCAACGTTATACGCCAGCATATTCTATTAGAGGGTCCATATTAAGATGATACAACAAAAAAATGCTCAGCAAGCATAGAAATATGGATGTAAACTCCCTTCCATTAAGAGTTCACAAGCGTTGTTTGAGGCCAGGAATTCAAGATTAGACTGGTAAACACAGCAAGACCCTGTCTCTACAAACAATTTTTTAAAAATTGCCAAGTTTGGGCAGCTACCGCCATGCCACCTTCACTCTCCAACACCAGCATTGCCTCGTGCTCGCCAAGCTCCAGCCGAAGAAGGGGGATAAGTAAGGAGGTCGCTATACCATGGCTCTGACAAAGCAGACTGCCCACAAATTGACCTTGGTAAAGCACCCAGGAAGCAACTGGCTACAAAAGTCGCTCACAAGAGTGCACCCTCTACTGGAGGAGTGGAAAAGCCTCATCGTTACAGGCCTGGTTCTGTGGCACTCTGTGAAGTTAGACATTATCAGAAGTTCACTGAACTTCTGATTTGCAAACTTCCCTTCCAGCATCTGGTGCAAGAAATTGCTTAGGACTTTAAAACAGATCTGGGCTTCCAGAGCTGAGCTATCGGTGCTTTGCAGGAGGCAAGTGAGGCCTATCTGGTTGACATTTTTAAAGACAACAACCTGTGTGCTATCCATGCCAAATGTGTAACATTTATGCCAAAATACATGCAGCTAGCGCACCGCAGATGTGGAGAATGTGCTTAAGAAACAGTATGATGGGAAACATTTCATCCTCAAAAAAAACCAGATCCCTTCTTCGGTTATTGGTAGTTCTGAATGTGAGATTTTTTTTTTTCCCATGGGGTCAAAAGGCACCTAAGTATATGAATGCCAGTGGAAAAATAGGGGACAGAAATCTGGTACTGGCAATTTTTCCATTTTCATTTGTGTGTGAATTTTTAATATAAATGTGGGCATGTAAAGCATTAATGCAAGTCAAAATGTTTCAGTGAACAAGTTTCAGTGGTTCAATTTTATAATAATTATAAATAAACCTGTTAAATTTTTCTGAAAAAAAAAATTACCAGGTGTGGTGGTGCATGCCCGTAGGACTGCTTGAGCCCAGAAGTTTGAAGTCATAGTGAACTATGATCACACCACTGCACCTCAGCCTGGCAACAGAGCAATACTCTATCTGAAGAAAAATAAAGAGTTCACATGAGCAACTAAGCTTGCTTACAAGTTGACTCTAAAAACATTGTTGTCCAATGGAATTAAAAGTCCAGAATCACTTTAACTTGCCAGGTAGTGTTAACGTTCAAAGACATTCCAATTCAAAATTTACTCCTCTCAATCTTCTCTTGTTCAATTTTCAGAGAGCGATTCTCCATCTTGGATAATGTGATTCTTTCAGCAGCTGTAGCTTAAGCTGTTCCATACCAGAATTAGTGTAGTTCTTAAGACATCATATTACTTCATGCTAAATCTTTCATGAATCACCCTTGAAAAAAGTTCAGAGTTAATTTGTAGTACATACAAGATTATAATAGCACTGGCCCACATCTACCAAATTTAGAAAATTACTCCATCCCCAGTCCCTAGGGCAGTTATCCCAGAACAAAATTATATTCCCCAAACTCAGTACTTAGTTTAAACCAAAGAGAGTTGACAAAGACCACAGCAGAGATTCCGCAGCATTGAGAGGAAGAGGATACCTTCTTGGTTTGAGCTGCACCAGCATGCCAGAGTTTATGTCACTTGTCCAGAGGCCATGATCTGAGAGCTAAACGATAACTGGGAAATAGCTCTTGGCAAGAGTTTTTTTTTTTTGGAACCGTGAATTTTCCAGATGGGGAGAGAAATAATCCTATGCAAACTGTCACCTCTTAGAGAAGAGCATTTAAGATACTGCTGCTTTGAGCAAAGTCTAGAGGGCTGACCTAATAGATTCCCAATCTTACTTGAGGCGCCTTTTTTTTCCCCATCCAGTATATTCAAAACTTCCTAAATTATTATTTTTCCTTTGAATCCTGTGTTTCTAGTGTTCAAAGATATTTTAAAAAGAAGCAAAATCATGACTCTCATATAGATAGAAAATGAGCACGTGGTAAAGGTGCTATTTAACTCATTAACTACAGCACAGAAACTAGGTAACTGGTTCAAAGGAGAAGAAGTGATAGAAGCCCAAATTTTTATGGAGTAAGAAATGTTGATATGGATGCTCATATGGATGCAAAACTGGCTTCTGCATGGGCAGAGGGTGGTGAGAAGGTAAGGGGGTATTGTTCCTCCACCAGAAAAAAATTTCACTTCAAAAAAATTTCAAACTACAAAGAAAACAATTATTTTGATTGCTATCAGTTATTTTCCTACTCATAGAGTTAGAAAATAGTTCCCACAGAATAGAAATCAGCAACCATGACGGGTATATTGTGCTAGTTTAGATGTGACATAATTTCATAGTTTTCCATTGGAGCACACGTCTTCCTTCACCAGCACCCTAATATTGAACTGAACATAGGCACTGCCAAGTTACACAGCATTTACATTCTTTTCTGATTTGGCTTTTTCTGTCTTTGCTCATAGAGGCTGTTTCTATTACCTGTTACTGCCAGTTCACTATTCCTAAGAACTCTGCATTCTAATCTGGGACATCTTGAGATCACACAATGAGAAGTGATCCTTGAATTTGTGTACAAGTCCTGTGAATTTAAGGTTAGCTCCTTCACAGCTCACTCTTTGGTCCTGGAAGCTGACTGAAATTGGAGCAGCTCAGCTAGTGCGGAGTCTGGCACTCTTAAGTGAAACTTCCTGCAGCACACAAACACACACACACACACACACAAATACCCTTCAGCTGCACTGCATTTTAAAAGCAGCAAAAGTATGCTGTTTTAAAAGTATGTCCAAAGATTATACAAGATTATAAGAGCACTGGCCCCACATTTACCAAATTTAGAAAATTACTCCATCCCCAGAACAAAATTATATTTCCCAAACTCAGTACTTAAGAGAGCTGACAAAGACCACAGCAGAGATTCCGCAGCATTGAGAGGAAGAGGATACCTTCTTGGTTTGAGCTGCACCAGCATGCCAGAGTTTATGTCACTTGTTCAGCAGCCATGAGCTGGGAGCTTAACAATAACTGGAAAATAGCTCTTGGCAAGAGTTTATTTTTGGAACCATGAATTTTTCCCCCACCCCTTACAAATGGATTACTGCCTTAGCTCTTTCAGTATTAAGCCGTTTGAGGCCCACTAGAATCTGTCCAGAAGCTCAAGAAGCCAGAGCATGTATGCCTGTGTGATCCAACGACAAGCAGCAGCCAGCCCAGCAAAGCCCCCACTAGGGGCAGTAGCTTTGTTCAGGCAGCAAGGTCAGTGTCTGCTTGCTTGCCAGGCCTCATGGCTATCTTCTGAAGGCAACTGTGGCCCCTATGCATTTATCGGATCTGCCTTCATAAAGATAATCATTGGCCTATGGATAAGGCCTTCGTAAACAGCAGTAATCGGCAAGTTCAAAATACCACATGGCCCAAAGGATGGAACCTCTGACCTAGGCGGCAACAGTTCAAAGCTAACTGCACAGCTGTTCAGACTGACTGCATCAAGCCACCACAGTCACCAAGACAATAAAAAGGGCTGTCCATTAAGCATGTCACATCATCAGCTGTGAGATACATCCCAATTAGAAATCAGTTAAAAATGAAAGAAAAATGTGAGTCTTAGAATCAATTAAGTATAGTAGTAATGTAGCAGTAGGCAAAATGTGGGTGTAGTTACTATGTGCCAGGCACTATTTAAACTTTAACTTATATTGTCTTATTTTTCTCACAACGGCTTTATGAAAGTAGGTATTATTAATAGTATCCCCATCTTACAGAAAGAAATGGAAGTAGAGTGAAATTAGAAATTAGTCCAGGGCCACCTGGGTATTAGACAGTGGCGCCAGTCAGTCTGAGTATGAACGTCTACACTTACATTCTTGTGGCTCATTTGGAAAGTACAGAAACAGGGAGAGAAGCAGGAAGAAAAGTCACTTGTCATCTTATCACTGAAAGACAACATCAAAACTTTGACACTGTTCTTTCCAGTAATAAAAAATTCTTTTTTATTCCATTTATTTATTATTATTTTTTGAGAAAGCATTTTACTTTTGTTGCCCAAGCTACAGTGCAATGGCACACTCTTGGCTCACTGCAACCTCTGCCTCCTGGGTTCAAGCCATTCTCCTGACTCTGCCTCCCGAGTAGCTGGGACTATAAACATGCTGCACCACATCCAACTAATTTTTTGTATTTTTTGTAGAGACAGAGTTTTGCCATGTGCCCAGGCTGGTCTCAAACTCCTGAGCTCAAGCAAACCTCCCACGTTGGCCTCCCAAAGTGTTGAGATTACAGGTGTGAGCCACCACACCCAGCCTTGATCTACTTTTTGTTGCAACCATTCTATACCCTGAAGGGGATGCACCATTCCTGGAGATACTGCAATACCAGGTCGACGGGTAGAGTGGGGCAAGTTCCTATTCCATCTCCTAGCTCCAAAAATCCATTTAATATATGATCCTCCAATAGAGAATGTATCAGATATTAAACTGATACAAATAGACACTACGCTTGATCTTAGCCAAAAGGCTGAGAAGTGATAAAATTTTCTATGAGACTTTTAATGATCCATGTTTTTGAAATGATTGTTTTATAGGAACCAAATGGAACGATTAATCATTATGAAGCCATCCAACACTCACAAACAGCCCTACGATGGATCCTTTGAACTCCAAGACTGTTGGGAATCCCAGCCAGTTCTTCCTTTGCTTTGTCCCTTCATGGGTTAGTCCAAGCCTTCCCATGGTTTGCAACATTTCCACACAGTGCTAACAAAGGCCATGCAGTCGTAGTGTGTTTCTTATGTGCCTGTCTTAGACCCTGAGCACTGTAACATGATCCCACTGAATTCTTGCAGTAAATGATCCCAGACCCCTTGAGACAACATATGGCAAGCAACCAGATATCACAAAAGTGTGATTTGTATTTCTGGGCAAGCAGCGGCCTCAGAGGACTAAGATCTTCTAAAGCTTTGAAACTCTTGCAGCTGCCAGTAACCGGATGAAATGCACAACTCCAGGTGGAAGAATGGTCATCAGCCCACCCCAGAGAGAGTCTGACACTTGAGAATGCAAGTGGGGCTTAAAGCATGTGCAAAACAAAGTTGAAGACTTTGCCTGTACTTAGGACATCAGCTATTCACACACTCAGCAAACCCAGACAAATGGAATGCAGAGTAACTACATACTGCATGAACAAATTAAAAGAAATATGCTGTCATTTTGCTTTTCTTTAAATCCATACAGAAAGAAAATATGCAGGGAGCGGTGGCTCAAGCCTATAGTTCCAGCACTTTGGGAGGCTGAGGTGGGCGGCTCACATGAGGTCAGGAGTTCCAGACCAGACTGTAAAATTAACTGGGAATGATGGCGCACACCTGTTGTCCCAGTTAATCAAGAGGCTGAGGTGGTAGAATTGCTTGAACCTGGGGGCTGAGGTTGCAGTGAGCCGAGATCACGCCACTGCACTCCAGTCTGGGCAATGGAGTGAGACTCCATCTCAAAAAAAAAAAAAAAGAAATAAATAGAAGAAATAGATATGGTGCCTTACACTGTCAGGGCCTCCAAAGACCTCATATATAATTGGGAATATATAATGTAGAAATAAACTTGTGGCTGGTATAGATTTTCTCAAACTGGGTGGGGCAGGCTTGGCTGCATTCTCGGGGACTGGAGAGTTTTGTGAGGGATTTTAAATATTAATTTTTCATTTTAAAGATAGTGCAAAAATTACTTCACCTATTATAAAAATATTATTTGCAGTGACAATTCATATTTGAAAAACTTTGCATGTAGAACAAGACTTTTGTTCCACAAAGTAGTATTTTTCCCACTGAAGTACGCAGACATAGTTTTGAGACTTCATGAAATTTTTTTCTCTTTACAAGGTTAATATAGTTCTCAGATTTGAGAAACATTGGTTTGGGACATTTTTAAAAATTGAAAACTGTAAGACATAATTATAATTTAGTATTAGTTCCCCTTTATTTCAGTTTCTCAGCTACAAAACTTTCTCCCACCCTCTCACTTCAGTGAGATGTAAAGTCAGGTGAGATTAATGTGCACTACAGCTCCATAAGAGGAAAGATAGGGGCTAAATGGAGGGAATTCATTGTTTTAAGCATAAATATAGTAAGGAGAAGTGAAAATCACTACAGGTCAGAAAAAAATCATTCTTACCCAGCAGCCTTGTGACAGTGAGACTATGAAACACAGGCTCAGAGCCCACTGGCTCCTCCATGGTGGCAGAACTTCCCCAGCTGTGACCAGCACAGGAAGGCTGCGTAGAAGCCACGTGAGGCTTCTACTGGGGCTAAATGAGCAAAGCAAACCCATATGGAGAGGATTGCTGCAAGGAGGAGCAGGTGATTGTGCATATAAAAGCACTTAGCACAGTGCTTGGCACAAAGCAGATGAGCTACACACGTTTATTCATTCTGAGTCTTTAGTTCAACTAAATCTTTAGTGTAAAGATTGAGAGCTTGAAAAAGAATTAAACAATTTGGTTTAGCAGGCCTGTTGTTTTGATTTATATCCTAGATAAGCTTATGTTTGAACTGATACCTCAGATATAGACCAAATCAACAGTCATGTCTGACAAGCCTGTGGTAGATATCTACTGTAAGCTAGACACACACGCCAGGTGATTTTGCAAAGGCAACCCCAGTCCTTCCCAAATCCTCCAATGTCCTATTAATTAACAGTCTCATCTCAAATAAATAATAAATAAGTAATTAACAGTCTCATCTCATATGACTCCGGAAGTTTAAAGCCCAGCGTTTCTAGGAGGAAACTCCCATTCTCCAAGTGGTTTTCTGTTCAGTTCACTTTATGCCACTCTGTGGACACAGCTCCTTCTCCATCATTTTCCAAAGCATATTTAGGGCTGTTGGGCCCCTAAAGTGAATTCTGCTGCTTCTCTAGAAAAATAGAAGCCTAATACTACTGCCTCAGCATCAGGATTCTTATCACAAACTCCAAGAGTGTCTTTCCATTCCTCACTCTACCTTAAATTCCTGGCCCCAGACAAATTAACCTGCCTAGAAAAAGAGAAGCCACCTCAGGCCAGCCCCTGAGATTCACTCAGAGTGTGCCATTCAAAACGGCAAGGTTAAAGTTGAAATGCTGTTTGTGATCTGACCTCTGAGGTCACACACCATCACTTCGAGATTCACTCAGAGTGAGCAATTCAAAACGGCAAGGTTGAAGTTGAAATGCTGTTTGTGATCTGACCTCTGAAGTCACACACCATCACTTCTACCATATTTCACAGCACATGCAGACCAGCTCTGCTTTCGTTATGGGAGTACGCTGCACATGGGTAGGAATATCAGGAGGTAAAGATCATTGATGGCCTTCTTAGAGATTGGCTACCACTTTGCCACTGACTTTGGGCAAGCCCCATAACCCCTCTGAACACCAGTGTCCTCATCTATAAAACATAGGAATTAATAATAGTCTCTACCTCATGTGGTTGTTTGAAAATGAGAAAATTCATGTTAAATGCTTTTCTCTTACTGGAAACTCAGAATACATTAACTATAATCACAATAATTATACCATCAACACTGTTGGATAATAACTAAAAGCTTTCCAACACTAAATCCAATCCATGTATGTATCAGACCAGCCCACAGAGAAGTCCACATTGCTTAGGCAGTGAAGTGGAGGAGTGCACAAAGCTGCTCACTCCTTCATAGATTCACAGAATGTTACAGATGCCCATCTCTTACATCTCTCTCACTGCCCTATTAAGCACACATTTCAACTCTCTACATTGAACAACTTACAGTTCCATGTCATTCTACATTTTAAGTCTTTATACATGCACCTCCTTCTGCATAGAATGCTCTTTCCAGCTGTCAAATATTTCACCGAACTTCAACTCATCCTTTACTTAATAAATGTGTTGATTTGTTTTCCTAAGCATTTTCTTTTTCTTTTTCATTTTTCTTTTTTTCCTTTCTTTCCCCTGTATGTGTAGTTATCCTTCCTTTTTGTCCCCGTTTTCTTTCATCTATTCAACAAATTGCTACCAAGTGCTAACCATGTGCCAGGAAAAAATGAACAAGACGAAAGTCCTTGTTACTGTCTAAAAGTCTTGATCCTCTCTAAAAGAATCCGATTATTTTAGAGAGGAAAAACAAATCTGGGACAATAATTCTCAAATTTTTGGACTCAGGACAACTTTACCCTCTTAAAAATTATGGTACATCCCAAAGAGCTATTGTTTATGTGGATTATGGAAGCTAAAATTATGTAATTTATAAAAATATTTATTTAAAAGTAATGACAGATTGACTAAATGTTAACATATCTTTTAATGAAAACTAGTTATGTTTTCTAAAACAAAAAAAGTAATGAGAGGAGTGGCATTTTTATACATTTGAGAATTTCTTTAATGTCATGTTTAATAGAAGAAAGCTATATCCTCCTATCTGCTTCTGCATTTGGCTTGTTATGATAGCATTTGTCATTTAACCTCTGGAAAATTCCCCTGCACATTCATGAGAGGATGAATAGAAAAAGTCAAAAAACATTTCAGTATTATTACAAAAGCAGTTTTGACATTGTGGACTCCATAAAAAGGACTTGGGGATCCCTAAGCATCCCCTTGCCCATACTTTCAGAAGTGCTCATTTGGAGAGTCATAAATTTATACTTTTTTAAAAAAAGAAAATAAACTATGTCTTGGATTTTTCTTCTAAAACTGTATCTATTTTTATACTCTTATAGCAGTGGTTCTCAACTTTTACTGTGCTTAGGAATACTTAGGAGGCATAGCTAAAATGCTGATTTGGCTTCTACTCCAAAAATTACTGATTCCCTAAGTTTGGAGTGTGCACTTTTTCAAGGTTCTTAGTTTCTTTGCATTGGGTTAGAATATGTTCTTTTAGCTCACCGTAGTTTCTTATTACCCACCTTCTGAAGTCTGATTCTGTCATTTCATCACACTCCTTCTCCATCCAGCCTTGTTCCCTTGCTGGTGAGGAGTTGTGATCCCTTTTAGGAGGAGAGGTGTTCTGATTTCGGGTGTTTTCATCCTTTTTGTGCTGGTTTCTTCCCATCTTTGTAGGTTTTTCCACCTGTTGTCTTTGTAGTTACTGACTTAGATTGGGTCTCTGAGTGAACTTCCAGTTTGTGGACGCTGAAGTTACTTCTTTTTCTTAGCTTTCCTCCTAACAGTCTGGCCCCTCTGCTGTAGGACTGCTGAGGTCCACTTCAGGCCCTGCTTGCCTGGGGATCACCTGCAGCAGCTGCAGAACAGTAAGGGCTGCTACCAGTCTCCTCTTCTTCTACCTTTGTCCCAGAAGGATACCAGCCAAATGTCAGTCTGTTCTCTCCTTTATGAGGTGACTCTTTGGATATACGGGGGTCAGGGAGCTGCTCGAGGAGACAGTCTGTCCTTTATTAGAGCTCAAGTCCTGAGCTCTGAGCTCCATTATTCATTCAGAGTTGCTGGGCAGGTACGTTTAGGTTTGCTGCAGCAGAACTCATAAACTCCCTTTTTTTTTTTTTCCCAGGTGCTCTGTCCCAGGGAGT